AGAGAGAGAGAGAGAGAGAGAGAGAGAGAGAGAGAGAGAAAGCAAGCGAGATGGAAGAAAATGATTAATGGCTAGGCAATATATTTTCAATAGAGCATGTTTAATTAAAAGAGGAAAAGATGAAAAAAAAAGAAATATTTTGCTTGGCATTTTCATTCATTTTTATTGGCTTTCGTATTGGAAAGTGCACGTTTAGTATGTTACAGCAAGTACTGTGATATTGCAGGTAATTAGAGTAATGTGGCTTTTTAAAGATACCAGTTCTATTTAACACTGTCTTTTATATGAAATTCTCTACGAAGAATATTATAAATAATAATTATTAAAATATTAATTTTATTAATGTATAGATTTTTCGAATGGATGTAATGTGTTCATTGCGTATTTTAATCCAGCTTTTGCCTGTGTGTGTGTCTAAACGTCTCTTTAATATCTTCTTAATCCTTAATTCCTAAGCAGCATTATAAATTTATTAACGCATTGTATACATTACTCGTGCGCGTCTTTTTATATCGCCGGTTTTATCGTGTATCGTGTCGGTATGTCTTGAAAATTGTCATTGTGAAACGGTCGCGCGACTTGAGGAGAGAGAGGAGAGGAGGCAAAGCTTTTCGTTGTACAATAAAGCTCGTCGAGGCGAAATCGACGTGACAAAGCGGAGGAAAGTCGTCAAAAACGCCCGTGAACGGTCGTGTAGTTTCGTTGTAACTCGATATAGCAAAGTTGCCATCACTTGTAACTAATGTCCTTACAGTAAAAGCCTTAACATTAGCAAGGAACTGATGTATATATATCGCTGTACGAACGAGTTTAACCATTTATATTCGTATCGTCGAAAGTGAGTTTTACGAACGCAGTCCAGACCGCCTGGCGTCTGCGTTCTGAATCCCGAGAGCTCGATTTAACGTTTCTGTAACGACAAGTACCGTGTAACAATAACAGAGTGCCTTTCTCCAAGCGCGTTAGCTAGCGCGGAAAGATAGCTATTTTTATCTTGATTTTTTCCAAAAGTGTCCTTTTTCATTGGCCGCTGTTCAAAGTTGTCTTCCAATGGTCAGTTTACACTGGTCAAGGTATATACGTCGAAGAATTCGATATACACGTCTCAGTAGATTATCCAGTGCCTTACTAATTTGTTCTTAACGTAAAGTCGTGCTAAAGTACAATCGGCAGTATGCCAACGAATTACACTAGCGTCTAATCGAATTGGTCGCAGAGTGCACTATTTAATAGTCGTTACGTTATTCGTTTATTGAAAGTAGAGAAAGGGAGAGAGAAAGAGAGAGAGAGAGAGAGAGAGAGAGTGTGAGTGAGAAAAAGAGGGAGGGAGAGCAGTGTACCATTTGAATTAATCATGTATATGTACTATATAAAAAAGTAAAAAGCCTATATATTTATGTTTATCGTTAGCTTTAATGCGTGGTCAACGAAAAAAAATAGAATCTTTTAACAATTGTACTTTTACGTTTAACGCGAAAGAACGAAGGAGGAATGGAAGAAAGGAAAGAAGGAAGGAAAGAAAGAAAGAAGGAAGAAAGAAAGAGTACTCACTAAGTGGCTGTTTTCTTATACCGCACGCTATACTTTCGTATGTACTCCTCCCGTAACATAAGTGGTAGCGTCAGTGATAATCGGCACCCGTGGCTACATTAATTGCGACTAATTAGACACGTAATATTTACAACTAGATACTTCACGGCGACTAGTCTTGCTGCAAATAAAACCGAAACGAATACGTGTACACAAGTGTGTAGGAGTGTGTCCAGTTGCAGCAAGCGCGAAATGAGAAGAAAAAAAGAAAATTACCGTTGTAGTTATTTAATACATAATATTGTGCGCTGCGCGAATGGAAAAGAATGTGGCTATTTCTTTATATATATATATGCGATTATATATGAAGTATGTTAGATATCTGGTATATTCTGACTACGATTTTATCGACTAAAATTGCTACGAGATATGTCTAATGTGTGAAGGTAACTGTAAACGTAAGTACTGACAAGAATCTAGTAATCTCTTTGTTTTTATTGTAAAAATAAATATAGGAGTTTGTAAGATATTAGAAAGTAGCCGTATATAAATTTGTTACTGTGTCTATGCGAAATATTCGAATAGATACCTGACCTGTGTGGTATTAATAAATTATGAACTTTTTAGCACACCTGTCGCGTAATTTATTTTACACACACACACACATATATATATATATATATATATACACACACACACGTATATAGAAGTTAAATATCGCGCGATAAAAGGAGAGAAATGCACGGAGGTAAAACGTTTGTACGGCAATTGAAATTATACAAATATTTTACGTGTCGTGCGGAAATTGATACAGAATATGAGTGAATGTTTACACTTCGACATATAATTATTATACCGTAACGCGTGGATTGCAACGTAAGCAGTACCGCTTCACACAACAACAATGTACAACAATGAATTCGTATAATATGTAGTACGGATATGAAAAAAATATTTAGCATGTTCCTCAAATTTTCTTTAATTTTCCCTAATTTATACTTACATATTGTGATGCGATCCTTCTCCAACGAATTATTTAATATTAAATCTAAGAAATATTTTTTCAGCACAGAAGATAAATCGTTGGATGACTCCTTAGAGAAAAAACTATAGGAATATGAAAAAATTAGTGGCATATTATTAAAGAACTATAATTTTTCGATAGTATATCAGTAGTTTTTTCGTATTCTTATAATTTTTTTTTTTCCGAAAGGGACGTTTGTTAACAATAGAAAATAGAAAATTTACAGTTTCTTCTTTAAATTGTACATTTTAAATTTTGTATATACTACCCAGTAAACATGCATGTCTAAAGGATGTCGAAAAGATATCTGAAAGACGTCTTATACAACAAAATGTTGCATAAGATATCTTTTAGATATCTTTTCAACATCTTTTAGACATGCATGTTTACTGGGTAGACTCACATAACACAAAAATATTAAAGCAATATTAAATATGACATTAGGGAAAATATTTGAGTAACATTTGTAAACGTGAGAAGAATATTATTCTGATCTTAAAATGTTACTTTCCGGAACATTAAAGAAATGATGCAACCAAATATTAATATAAGGTTAGTCAATATTACATTTAATGTTGCTTTGTGCTGGAAATAATATTACTTTTAATACCATAAAATGTCAGGATAATATTAAAAGAAAGGAAAAGAAAATGTATATCCTTTATATATTTCATTTTTATTGAAAATTATGATAAAATATAAGAAAGAGGAACAAAATCATGAAGAACATATATATAATACTTTCCATATATAAACATATATGCATTAAACATATCCCAGATAGCCAAACCTGCGCGAACAGATTTCGAGCAAAGCTTGCTATCAACTTTTGATGGCAAATAGATAACAAAGTTGATGCAGGATCTGTTATATCAAATTTTGCTGCCAAATTGCCGCCAGATATGTGGCAGAGCTTGTTGTCGGAAAATTGCTGCGGATTTACAGCAAAAACTGCGCAGAGCTTATAGCAATTTGACGGCAGATTGGCGGCACAAACCGCGCAGACCTTACTGCGCTGCAAGCTTTGCGCGGTTTTTGCTGCAAATTTGGCACCAAATATCCGACAACAAGAATAAATATTTAGTCAGTATGAACAAATGTTGTAATTATATATATATTTATTTTATTATATATATTTGTTGTGCATACTTCGATCTTCGTATGTGTCTTCTCTGCGCATCCTCGAATAATGTGCGCATGATATAAATTTCATTATATGAAAATATTATATTTATATATGCATTAAAAATCAATACAATCTTAGCAGGCAATGTTACATCAATATAGTACAACATGTTGCTTTCAC